AAGCCAGAGGTTCCTGGGAAGAGGGTCTTGCCCCTCTGCTCAGGGTCAGACTGATCACCATATTTGGGGTCAGGAAGGAATTTTACCCTATGGTCAGATTGGTATGGACTGTGGGGGTCCTTGCCTTCCTCTGCAGCGGGGACATGGCTCTGCACCCAGGATCTTTTGAGCAGTCATTGACAACACTTCACAGAAACAGGACATTGGCTGCTGTGGTTCCCCTGCTTTGCCTGTGGCAAGTTAGGGTGTTAGGTCTATGTTGTGTCAGGGTTGCAAGTAGTCTTACGTCAAGTTTAGATTATGGTTGTCTGGGATAGTTTGGATAGGGATGAGCTTGTCTCGGGCAGGGGGTTGGACTAGACGACCTATGGAGGTCCCTTCCAGCCCCACTTCTCCATGTTTCTATGATTCTCTGTGAAATGCTCCCATTAAATCCCAAACTCTCTCCCCTTATCCATAAGCACAAGAGACTCTCCAAATACATGATCAAGTACTGTACAAATAATGGCACAACCTACAGCTTTCGTTGACAACCATATATTTTTGACAGCTTCTAAGTGCTGCTCTCTGTATGACCAACAATCAGAGCCCACAAAAGCCACTCATCTATTTGATGCTCATAAATGAATGGTGAAACTTGGCTCTGTTCAATACAAACAGTTGTTCACACTGAGGCAAGGCTTCTGCAAGGCCTTGCTCTATGTAGCAGCCAGATACATATAGTTTTGCACTGCACTGAAAGCTCCATGGTGCTCGCATAAAGATCTCAGCTGTGCAAGTTAAACAGCCTGATTGCAGTACGGGTCTGAACCCACATGCACTAAAGTCCATGGGAAAACTCCAGTTGATTTTGATGGGGATTCAATGCACACTTGAGAAGACTGAGCTGAAAAAGACAAGCCTTTTGATTTCACACTAAAAGAGACTGGGGCCCAGCCACAGTCACCATAGATTTTTTTATAGACAGGCAGTTTTTCATGAGGCAGAGCTTCCGTGGTCTCCAGATTAATACAATGGGCATTTTCCTGTCTGCGAAGGAAGCAGAGGCCTATGCACCAGCCCTGTCCCGGTGGTGCACGAGGATTTAGCCCAGCGTGGGCGTTCTGAATGTTTATTTTCTAATCATCATTGGGCAAGGAGAAGTGAAGCAGGGCTAGGAGGTGCACCATGAGAACATAAGAATTGCCATTTACTGGGTCGGACCATGTCACAGTGGCAGAGAGTGGATGCTGAGTCTGCTTCTGATCTGACACCATCAGATAAATGCTCCAGACCTCTCCCCCCATTTTGCTGCTGGCCCATTCTTCTGCTTTGCTATTGAACAAGGGGAGGGGACAGTGAAAAAAAGTTCCCTGGAGCTGAAATGAAAGCTGCTGTCCCTTGAATGAACCCAGACAGAGCTGGGAAAGGGGTGATGTCATCAAGCTGCGGTCCCTTAAAGGGAACTCCCACACAGCGGGGCATTGTGAGCCAGCTCCGGCTTCAGGCCCTGGCAAATGGTTTCATAATAAGAGCAGTCACCCCTTCCCAGTTCAAGCTATGTGGCAAACTTCCCACTCAGCCTCAGCTGGCTGGCCAGGCTTGGGAAGGGTTTCTATCTCCTGAGTCACTCCTACTATTGGGCTAGGATGTTCATGGAAGGAAGCAAGTTTTTGGTTACAAAATACTGCGGGGATGAGAATGTCAAAAGATAGTTTCTTTTCACACAGGAACATGAGGCCAAATAGACAGAGACTTAAGGGAGTCTGAGGCCTAGTGACATCCGCCTTCTTCCCAACCCTCAGTGCATGGTGTCCACGCAGAACATACATTGCATTTGTCTCTGGACAAGTTGTGTCCATGTTGGTCCTGGAACAGAAATATCCCGAGATTGGCATGTACCCTTCTGATCTGGGTTTAGCGAGTGACTGAATGCACTGCTACCTTTCTGTCATTGATTCAGTGATGCAATCCCAGGACTGCACTTTGTCTCAGATTAAAACGGTTTATCCTGGGACAAATGCGATGTGTTTGTAGTCTTAAACTAACTTAGCTTCTCTTAAGATGTGATTTTGCTTAGACTCACACCACTTGGCCACTAAGCTTAAATTAGTGCCACTTTGGCCTGGCCTAAATGGAAGACTAAAGTCATGCCTAAATCTTATTTTGTTAAATCAGTGCAAATTGTCAGCTAAAGCAGTACGTCGAGTTCAAACTGAATTAGGCCTATTCTTTACTGGCTTGAGTGAAAGTGAAATGAGAGTGTTTACTCGGGGTCAAGGTCAAGTAGATCATTTAAAAACCATTTTAAGTTAAACTGGTGCAACTTTCTCCTTTAGATAAGGCCTGAGATACCAAAGGGGTCACAAGTGATGGGGAAATCAATAAACATTGGTAAAAGGAGGGTATAAATTTCAATAGGGAATCCCCTACTTTCTCTCATGCCTACCCTAACTCTCCATGGAATGCAAGTTAGACTCCATTAGGCTCGGTGGCCAAATTCAGAGAGGGTGGAAAAGTAGGTGAGCTCTACAAGACAGTAAGCAAATCCAAAATCGTATAACTGAATGCTAAGGAAAGTGGGAAAGACTTCAAGTTTTCCTGGGTTCATTTGCACACACTTTGGAATATGAGTCCCAGACTTGGCATCATCTACTTTCTTTAACTTACTGTAAAAAGGCAACTCCATAAACCCCCCAAATAATGGTTAGTGTTTCATGACTCATTACATGGCTGCTCAAGTAATTAATAGACTATAATAAAATCCACACAAGCTCTATGCTTTATTTCACAGGAGCTGGGAAAAAGGTTAAGTATCAATTGTTTTAGCATATGGTAACTTTGGCTTATTGGGAAATCTTTCCAGGGTCAGGTCTTCAAAGATGCCCATGCACAACTGCATAGTTTCAAGTGAGGAGCACCAGTCAAGACCTGTGCTCTGGGAATGCTCATACAGAGCTCTGCCAAATCCTGTCATCCCCTACTCAGTGAAACTATACCAAAAGTGTTGTACTTTGAAGAGCCAGATGTAGGAGCTGCCCCCAGGTGTCCAGCTGTCATCTCTCCCAACTCAGAGCATTAATCTGCTCCAGCCTGAGTCTATACACAGTGCCTCAGAGTTCCCTCTTTTCTCCTTCTGACATAGTACCCAATTCCTACCACTCCTCCCTTTACAAATTAAATATGCTCAGTCTTTCTGTCATCCTCAGCAAAACCCTTGTCCAGACCTGAATCTGATCCTTCACAGTCTTTCCATGGTGAAAACCTGCACAGTACCAGAACCCCTATCTCCTGCTTTATTGAAGAAGGGGGTCAGGCATCTTCAAGCCATTCCTCCTAGTCTCTTTATTAGATTAGATTCTTGCACGTCTACCTTACCCAGTCTGGCATGTCTTCATCCTCTTCTGCTAAACATCCTTCTTCAAAACACATTTATTCTAGCGGGACTAGCTACCACTGTGCTTCCAACTCCCAAAGTTAGAAGACTTCATAGATGCAAAAGGACTATTAGATGACACTGTGGATATGGAACTATGCTGAGGGGCTCCTCTCATAGGAACAGGCACTGTGTGAAAAATACCACTGGCATGATAGTTTCATTTGGTCTTTTTCAGATGCAAAATAGGATGATTGTAATAACTGATTAAGACTGACTGTCCAAATTTCCTTTACGTGTCAGTCAGGGCTAAGAAAAATGGAAGAAAACATGAGAAGACAAGAAATAGAGGTAAGGGCTGGCTAGTGTACTGACATATAACTGACATAAAAAGACCCTGCTCTTAAATGGATGGATGGATAGAAAAACACTCTTT